TTTTCTCAGAAGTTTTATTATTTTGTTTCCAAAGCAACGGGCACCCCTGTGCTAGCTGTTTACTCTCTGTTACACACCGCTTGCGGTTCGCTCTCACATTAACACATGGAAGCTGCCATGTTTGAAGCGAGCGACTCTACGGAGGCCCGCGCGGGCAGAAAATAGAGCGCTAAAAAGGCTTGCTCCCCGCCCCCTCCCCTAACCTCCGCCTACAGCCATGTAATGTAAGGGAAACAGTGTAACGTGAGGACACATGAGAGAGAGGGTCTATCGCTCTGCCGCTGCGCAAACTGGCCTACTTTCCCCCGCAGTGAACATGCGAGGAAACTGGAAAACACATCATGAATAATCTAATTTAATCTCACCGTGCCCGAAGTTAGTGATGCATTCTGATGAAAAGGCTAAACATAGCCTATGGATTAACTCAGACCTATGATGTGAGGAGATAAAAACTGCCTTAGAGAGAATAAGGTCAGCTCGGGTCAGTGCCGTGCGGCTGTACGCGTTGTACAGGAGCGGTTAATGAAATGTAGGTCGTTATTGCGTGACAATGATGAGACAATTAAAAGCTTGCATTTGTGCTGCTCTTGCCATTTTCTTGCAGATGACAATGCTGTCACACCCAGGGTACTGTGAGTATGTATTTCCTGTCTTATTTTTATTATAGAGAACAATGCTGGAAAGCTGTAGCCGCACCAACTACAAGGGCTTTTTGCACAATATCAGCAGTGCAGTCCAGAAGAGGGTCACTGTGTCACTGTCTCTGTTTTGTCCTTCTGTGGCAATCTAATTACCACACAGCAAACGCGGGTCTGTTAATATCCCAGTAGATAAAAACGACATTTTTATTCAGATAATGTGGCGAACATTAGAACCCAGCAGTTCCTAGCAAGCATGATCTCCCCTACAATAAGCCCGACTTCCTAGACAGTTATGTCCTATTTCAGATGCTTGTCCTTTATTCGATTATCTTTTATTGCCACTGCAGAAATCCTATCACTTTGTACTCATTATTTAAAAGCATAAAACATGCTGAAAACATTGTGATTCATAAACTCACTGGACACTTTATCAGCTACACCTCTTCATCTACTTGTAAATTCAGTTTTTGAATCAGTCAATCCCATGACATCAGCTCAGTGCATTCACACCGGTAGATATGGTCAAGATAGCCTGCTCACGTTTGATGTCCAAAATATCTAGTGAGCCCCAGTTCTCTGGGTGAAAATGCCTTGTTGATGTCAGAGGTCAAAGGAGAATTGCCAGACTGCTTCAAGCTGAAGGCAACAGCAATGAAATAACCACTTGTTAAAACCAAGGTATGCAGAAGAGCATCTCTGAATGCACAACATGTCAAACCTTGAAGAAGGTGCACTACAGCAGCAGCAGACTGTACTGCTGTCAGCTAAGAACAGGAAACTGAGGTTACAGTTGACAGGGGCTCAAAAAAAATGAGATAAGCGAAGGTTGGAAAAATGCTGTCTGGTGTGAGGCATCTTTGCATGGATCCATCCTTCAGATCCGTCACTGTACTCAAGTAGTGTCCACAGTCACCAGATCCCAATCCAGTAGACAACTTTCAGGATTGGTGGAATGGGAGGCTGACATGATGAATGTGCAGCTATCAAATCTGCAGCAACTGTGTGATGCTGTCATGTCAAATATGGACCAAAATCTCAGAGGAATGCTTCCACACGTTGTTGAATGTGTGCCACAGAAAATGCCTTCAAAATCAGCTGATTGCAACTTTTATGAGTCTTACTACGAGCCTGCATTGAGGCCAAGATTATTTTGATAAAATACTTGCATGTTTTTTTCAGGTTTCAACAAGGTGCTCTGCTACACCTACAGCTCTACTGAAGCATAAGATGTATGGAAATGTACACTACAGCATTCTATATGATAATAATAATAATAATGGATTGCATTTATATAGCGCTTTTCGGGACCCCTCGAAGTGCTTTACAATACCACTATTCATTCACTCTCACATTCATACACTGGTGAAGGGAAACCACAGTTGTAGCTTGTAGCTATATGAGTACTGTAACAACTGCTAAAGCCATTACTGGTTTAAGTACAGTTTCTCTCACTATATTTTTTTTTACATTAACAAGTCTTCTGCGTGTGCTAACAATAAAATAGCTGAACTGAATTATTACAGTATTGCACATTTTGCATTGTAATACATTGTACAACAATCCTACTAATACTACTACTAATAATGATGATAATGAAGATAATATAAATAATATAAATAATTATGATAATGATGATTGTAGTATATGTATGTTTGTGTGTTCACTATTGCATCCTAGACAAGTGCCCAATCTTGATGAAACTTTGCATAAACACTGCCTCGGGCAACATCTATGCCATATATAAATATCTGATACAATTCCCACAATCTTATTTATTTATATACAGTAAAATTGGTTCTTGTTTCTCAGATTAGATTCAGCTTGTATTTTGGGTTAACCTGTATTATTTTAATATTGTGTGGTAGAAGAACATTTCCTTTATTTCCCTGTTACATCAGTCTAAATGAACACACTGTCAAACTCAATCCTGAGATTGTCCTTTAGCTGACATGCAGAGAGGGCATGTGCGCTTTTGGCACAGATCTCACGCTGTGTTTTAATGTAAGCAATTTGGGGGGGCGGGGGACCCAACAACCTGAAATTAAAATAAAATAAGTACAGCAATGGTTACCATTTTATTCCTGAAACAGAGCTCCAGCTCTCCTGGTGAAGTGTAAGTTATACCTGATTACCTAAAGATGGTTTTTGTTTTCTGTGCTGTTTGGAATTTCACCTGGCTACAAATATTTTATAGGTTACAACTTGAACAGTAGAGCGAATGAGTTACACTGAAAAGCAATATATTGCATATACAGCAGGCTTTCTCGTATTCACTATCAAATATCTACCATCTGCTTATTGAGCGGTTTGCAGCCAGCTTCCACAAAATGGGACATGGTTGACTGTAAATGAGAGGAAAAATAAAAAAATAGAGGGTTCTGCTTCTACTGTACGCACACGAGCCTGAACATCTGGATGGGGGCGCTGTGACAATGAATGCCCAGAGAGCGTGGCGCTATACATCTGACACAGGAGAATTATAGAGTTAATAGTATTTGGCATGACAGGGAGAGAGAGCGGGGAGCGCAGTGCCGTGCCTGAATGCAGTCTCATCCTGTTTAGTATTCACTGTGCGCAGCGCCTGGAGGCCCCGGAGGGCTCACCTGCCCGGAGTCTAGACGCACTCTCAGTACAGATCAGACAGCGGGGATCGAACCGCCGGCCCGGTAGGCTTCACGTCCGTGCGGTGTCGGGCATCGGAGGGGAATTGGTTCCAGCACCAAAGACACGCCGGTGAGTGAGTGGGGTTGAGTGGGTGGACTGGTGGGTGGGGCTCAGACGGTCGGGTCGGCTGGGGACGCTGGCAGTCTACCTGCCCGCAGCGGCGCGTGGGCTCGAACCCGTGATCCGTTATTCCTTCGGATGTAATCTGATTACCGCCAGTTTTATTGCTGTTGGGCTACATCTGTATTTACATTACCCGTGTGACTATTTCTGTATTTCTATGCATTTCTACCGGCTTTCTAAATTATTTCTGTCTTATTTAACCATCTTTCAAAACGAAAAAACAAAACAGTTTAGCCTCGTATAAAACGAATAAAAGCGATGAAAAAACATCTATGCATTTTGACATGAAAAAAAATCGCTATATCTTTAAATGCAGAAAAATGTAAACTTTGCTCCGCATTGTCTGCACTGAATGAAAACAGAGTGAGTGTGTGGGCGAGCCTATAATTTACCCCTTAACTTGTTTTTAAAGGCTTTGGAGACAAATTAAAGATTTGGTGAGGTTTATTTTGATTACCACTGAGGTAAACTTTTTTATTTTACTTTGGTTTGAAGTTATGACATCATGCAACTCTGACTTTTTTTGATGTAAAGACACTAATAATACATCAATAGGTGGGCTAGTCATTTTAGATTACGCACCTGTGACCTGCTGACAATATAGCACATAGTAAACAAAGTGCCCAATAAAATAGTGCATACAGCCTCTGTGTGTGTGTGTGTCTGTCTGTCCATCGGTAGCTCTGCGATCTGTCTGCAACCCCTGGGAGAGTTTCAAAAAAAATCCCCGCTCTGCTCCTCTGCGTCCTCCTCGATAGCTCCGCGCTCTTCTCGCCGGCACGTGTGTGTGCGTGCGTGCACGCCCGACATCCTGCGCGCTCGCAAAGTAATGTATGTGTATGCGTACTCCGCTGCTGGTTCACGGCGTACAGTCACAGTGAATGAGTGTCTGTAGTGAGGCGGAGGGAGACACTAGACCACTTCTGCTTTGCTCCTCCATTGAAACACTTTCCAGCGAACACAGCCGAGGGGTGAGTGGAAGCTCGGCGGGTCACCGTGTGTAACGGTTCGGACTCGGCCCGTTGGGGAGGGTGGTTGGGGGACCGGGTTTGCTAGTTGCCCGTGCCCACCACTGCGTGTTTGTATATGCTTACATTTCTGTGGGTGAATTTAGATGGAGGGGTGGTGTATGGGACTTCGGCGTTTTGTTGAAGTGGAGGTTAGGCTATTGTTTTTTAGGGGAGTGGGGTGGTAAAGTTGTGCTGGCTCCTATGGGGGATGGGTGCTTGGGGACAGACCAAAACTTTAACCACTTCACACCGGCACCACTCACTCGTCGCCTCGGGCTACCCCTGGGCGACTGTCTTCTCGTGAGACCTATGCTCCTCTTTCTCTAGCATTCCTGAACTTTCTCAGAAACTACCTGAGGTTTGAGCGAGGGGTGCATTTATTCCCCTCTTCCTTTTAGACATTGCTGCATTTGAACGACGCTGGTAGTTGCTTATTTGTGTAATCTCATGGCATAGGCTGCTGTCGGTAAATGGGTTAAGATTTTACAGCCAGCCCCCTACTTTCCTTTCCCCTCCTCTCCTCTCCTCTCTCGCCATGCCGGATCCATCCGTCTGTCTCGCCCACAGTTGCAGCGCATTTGTGTCCCGGGATGACCTGTTGATGTCGGCTAAAGATGGAGTGCCAGGATCGCCCTCCGCTGTAGACCCCCCGCTTCTCCTTTAGAAAAATACCTTAAGAATCTTAGTTCCTCAGAGTGAAGATAGCCCCGCGTGGTTCCCGAGTCCGCTTTTTGGTGGAGATGCAATAAAGCATTTATTCGCTGTGATATAGTATAAGCGACATTTTGGAGGGGGAACAACGCGTGTCTGTCCCATGTTGGTAGCTGCCATTCGGCCGGAGGAGGAGGAGGGAACTCGGTCTTAACGGACATCACACCGCGCTGGCACGGAGTGGAGGGGAGACGGGAACTGCTGAATATTTTACCCCCCGCCCCCGACTATTTTTGTGCCATATTTCGTACCCCTGGTCCCCCAGACGATAAACGTGTGTGTTGAGGGCAGTTAAAAACCATCATTGACATTCAAAAATAAAAAAGAGGAGCTCTCTCATTCTCCTTTTTTTGTCCATTTTCCGCTGCCGCCCCCTCCCTCGCCCCCTCCCTCCGCTGAATGCACGCACACACCCGCCCGGGCCAGTTGAGGACTCCCAAATTCTACCGGGCATCGAGGCTGGCACACGGCGGGGCACCGAGAGCTCTCTGCCCGCTCTGACTGCCCTGCTGCACCGCTGGTGGCGGCGGGCTGTTTCTCTCCGAGGCGTCCGCCAGCGAGACTCTGCGAGACTTTCATGTGAGATTAATTGATGTATAATTAATGTGTATAAATGATATCTCGGTTTTGAAGTTTCTGCTCTAGTCGTGCTCAAGGGAGGCTACGACTATAGCCACATTGTGATGCCTGTCTGCTCACGAGTTTCGGTAAATACAGGATTTCTAGCCCAAACGGCTGCAAACTAAAGGCCACCCAAGGCTGGCGTTTATTACACGTGATTTGGAGCCTTGTTTGTGAGTTGTGTGCATGTGTGAACTGTTTTTACTTCTGCCAGTGTTAGCCTTAGCTTTAGCCTGCTACTTGCTAACAGGCCACCTTTAACCTCCCCAAACCAGGAAACTGAATATGATTAGGCAGTGATTGATATTGATATCAAAAGCCCGTGTTCACGTGGTTGCTCGGGTTTATTATCTGGCAGCAAAATGACTGCGGTAATCTGATGTTGGTGTTTTGGTATTAGCAGCAGCATGTGGTTAGTTTGCATAAACCTGAGTATATATATATATTTTTGCTTTATTTTTGGTGCTGGAAAACAATTTTCAAAGTTGCAGATGATTGAAACACACACGCAGTCACACACTCTTTTTTTCTTGTGGAGTCAAAGCACATAGTGGGGCACATGGGGAATACAGGGCAAGGGTCAAGTAGTGTGAGTTAACTCTCCTTTTCTGTTTCTTGGAAGTTATTGTGACCTCTGACCTGTGAGGAGCAAAAGGTGCCTGGTACCATATCCCTGTGTGACATGACATGTCAATGAAGCAGTGTGAATGGAAACCAGCTTGCATGAAAAAAAATGTTCTGCTTTTAAAATGTTGAAACTTTTATCAGCATCGCCAGCATATTATTGTCATTATCAGCAACTGTGCACACTGTCACTCGATGCGTTCGCTGCTTTATTTTTATTCTTTTTGTCTTCGAATACTGTGGGGAGATTTTATTTATTTATTTTTTCAGCAGACATGCTTTGTCTTGGCAGCTGCTTATTATTCATACGACTGCACATATTTACACCTGGAAACAGCCACAGACATCTCACCATTGGTCGCTGAGATGCTCCACTGGGACATTTGTCAGTTCAATTGCTTGCTCAAGGCCATGGGAAGTGCAGATGTTAGCGGAGCAGATCGTGCATTTTTAGTGCCATAGAATCAGAAACAGTCATTTTTAGACTTTCTTCGCTATCAAAACACTGTTTTGTAAAGACAACGACCCACATTTCCCAGTAAGATCGTTGTGTTCTGATTAAAGTAGAAGTAATGCGTGTAAACAAATCCTGTATAGGACCCAAACTGCGCTGAGTAAATATCACTCGGAGCCTCTACAGTTGAATTTTAATTGCACTTATTCAATGCATATTGATTTCTTTACATCGACACAAGCTGTCAAGCCACAATAACGTGTCCAGGTACAATAGCAAGGCACAAACGAACTTTCTTATTGCCAAAGCTTTATCGATTAAAAAAGAAAAGGTAGGAGAAAACTAACCTATATACAATGCACTCGGTAACAGAGACCCGATATAATGAGACTGTTTTTTACAGAACAAATTGTACAGAGTGCTCCCAATCCAATAATCCGTTTGTGATCATAATTGTCCTCGTACAGAACAGGACTGCACAATTAATTAAGTGTAATTATATTGTCGAGCAGTTTACACAATTAATAAACATAGTAATATTTTGCAATTTTAAGGCATTATATTCCACTTTATGTGGTGGCTAGTGTTGAAATCTATCTCTCTGTCTATCTGTATATAAAAATGCTGATAGCCAAGGCTGATCTGTGCAGGTTAGATCAAGCCTCATTAAAACAAAAATTAAAATGCTTTTGATGTAATGTGTGGCAGTGGAGTTGTAAGTAATCACATTTTACTCTTCCCTTTCAGTCCACTGTCATAGTTTTCATGCCTGCATCAATCAGATTTAATTAGTCACTATAAACATAATTAATTATGATGGCCCCCTATTCTCAGCGCTGCCCTTATGTAGGCGTAAGGCAGGAGCTCAGGACTGCTTTAGTCCAATTTGTTCACCCTTTATTTTTCAGCCAGTGAAGGTTTGCTGAGCGTGCATGCCAGAGCAGCACCCACCATTCACACCTGGAAGCTTCACACCATACAGCCACTGCCTTTTATTACCGGCCAAGGAGAAGCTCAACTGAAGGAGTTATGGTTTAGAGGGAAAAATCCACCTCCAGACATTTGTTTTGTAATTTCGATGGAAGCCATTCCAGGAGTGAGGTTAGTTTGCGAAAAGTTGTAATTTTCTTGTTTTGTTAACCTTTGCAAAACCTTCTTTGTCAACGTTTCCCAGAAGGACTCCCGGTGATTAAAGCGTTGGTCACTTTTGGGCTGTATGCTGAATGTGCAGTTATTAAGTGGGTTTGGAACTAGAGGCATTGTCATGTGTCTTGGCTTGTTCTTATGACAAAGTTATAGCTGTTGTCACCACTTCAGCAAAGTTAGAGGTATTGCTGCAGATCCGATTTTTGGGCTGAATCTGGTTGCATAGAAATCTGTATGTCTGCCTTTTACCCACTTTGTGTTATTGTGAGAGAGCAAGTCAACAAAAAACAACCCACCTCTTAACAGTGGAGTTAGTCATTTTTTGAGGTTATTTAATAGAAAAAAAAATTGTACTCATCAATATACATACTTTAGTGAACAATTATGTCTTCCAACTAATTGATGCGTTCTCCTAAACTTAAAAACTTACATCAGTCAATTAAAAAAATCATTAATATAAATTTAAAATACACAGGAGTAGGTTTGTGGTTTGTGGAAGTCACCATGTTCCCTCACGATACCCTAAAAATCACACTTTCCTATCTCATGGAAGTTTATTCTCTCCAGAGACTCCAACAAAGTTACTTCAGGGATAGTTTGACTACCAGCGGCTATTGTGGCAAAAACCACAATACGGCGGTATGGCTGTCATCAGATAGAAGTGAGCTTCTTTGAAACACTGACCTGTATCCTTATTTTTTCACAAAGTTTTACAGCCTCGTTTAGATTAAATAAGGGTAGATGCTTTTCAACCAGCATTGACAGCTGAGGTAAACAATGGATTGATAGATTTCCATAGATAGGGAGAAACTGCGGGGCAGAGCCGGTCCAAACTGTTACAGAAACATGCCAGCTGGCCGCAGCATTCATGGGGTGCAGTCTAAATTTAATGTTCTTGATATGTTGGCTGATTAAAACATGTTTGTCCTACAGCAGCTTGAATCATGGAGTTGAATTGGGAGGTGTAAGACAAATTTTTACACACTCACTTTCAATTTATGTAAACTTTGTTGTTGTCACTTTGACAGTTGGTCAGCTTTTTTTTATCTACAAGAGAAAAACATGGACATACATATGGTATCAGTATTGTATGAGTATTTGGGGGGTTTTCTGCCCATTTATCATCAGTTTATGTCCAGTTTCCTTGCAAAGTGGTGCTTCCAATCCCTTTGTAGGTTTATTTGTTGCATGATAGTTTTTTTTCAGGAATAAAGTGCATTGTGAAGTAGGCAGATTCTCTTTTACCCTCGGATCACTGCATTTGAACCAAATCAAGTTGGTTGTTGGTTTCCTGTAGAAAGAACGAACTGATGGTGGCTTGCTTTAGCAGCATGACCCAAAGGAAAAAGCTGTCCAGCATAGTCACAACAGTCTGTCAGTTACAGACTTGGGACCATGTCGTGCTTGCTTGTAAGATTTCCATCTGTGTTTGTAGACCAATTTGGAGTGTAAGCCATTGTTGCCTTTTCTCAGCCTCAGTCTGGGACTTCATGAGAAAGGTAACACTTTTTAGACAAAGAGCATTGTGATATCTTAATGTTAGCGATGAGGAATAATGTTAGTTCCAACGCTTAAATAAGCAGATTAAAGTGAACAAAACCATTCAGAATTTGAGTGCATTTTTAAGATAGAAGATCTTAAACACACATAAAGGAACAGTTAGAGATGTAGTTAGTAAAGCAACTGCAAAGCTGCCACTTTCAGTAGACTGAACAATGTGATATGTGACTATGTGGTTATAGAGGATTTCTCTCAGGGGATCTAAAAGTCCACAATTTGTTCCCTCACTGTTACTTCTTCAGAACAGAGGTAGTGTGTGGAAAGTCCATAGCCTACGTCTTTTACAGTTACATGCTATGGCCTTGCCTCCTGCTGTATTTGGTACGTCAGTGAATTGTCTTCAGTACATTTGCTGGGTTTTCCCACAAGATATGAAACTGGAAAACATTCACTTTCTGTCACCAACTGAGCTCCACCCACTAAACATGTATTTGCCATTTATGAGCATTAAAAAGGGCTATTGTGCTTGAGTTAAGTGGCGATGGAATTTCCTGTAAGGGGATACATTTTGTTTATGATAGTATAGAATAGAATTCAACTTTATTGTCATTGCACATGTCACAGGTACAAGGCAACAAAATGCAGTTTGCATCCATCCAGAAGTGCTTTAGCCATGATATAGATATATTACAAATATATATTAGCAATAATATAGATATGTGAGTATATTACAGAAATGGATCTATTATGGTATGTTATAATGTACATGGTATGAAGTATGTTATGAATATGCTATAACTATATGTATGTACAGGCTGTAGTGAGTACAAGCTATGTACAGGATATGAACAGGATATAAATATGAAAAACTATACAGAATATGAAATAAAAAAACTATACAGAAATATGAAATAAAAAAACTGTACTATAAGGCTATAAGCCCTCTGCCCTTCTTTGTTCACTCGTGACTGAATGGATAACTACCAAAGTGTAGTGCTGGGGAAGTTATGCATCAGCATTTCTTATTCGGCATTTGTCTTTGCTGACTTAATATTGTTCATTACAGCTGCACAACAAATCACTTGTTAAATCAGATCATGACTGTAATCACTGGAGATACTTGGAGTTTGACTTACTGTTTTAAGCCTGGCCTCTGGCTTTAGAAAATCTAGATGGAATACTTTGGCCAAACCCAGATTGAGAGTAAATAGCAAAAAGTAAGGCCGGGGAATCA